GCGAGAAATTAATCTTGAGGCGCGGGGCCTCAAGGGGTCTCAAGGTGACGGGGGAGTAAAAGTAGCCTTTACGAGGGGGCTTGATGAATGAATGCATGCCGGTTTCGCAAGCTGGCTTCTACTCGTGCCCTTAGCCTTGATCTTTTACCTCTTTCGATTCGATTCTCTGCGCGATCTCGTCTTGCCGATCCCATCCCGACTGGGCGGCTCCGTCGAAGTCGCGCTTGCTTTTCTTCCACTTTTGCCCGAATGTGGCGCAAAAAAAAAACAAACATGTTATATCATCTGTTACGCGTAACACGAAATCGTTCCTTTCACTTTCACTGAGTTTTGACGCAGATGTGGCCATCTCCGAGCTGTCTTCCTTATTTCCTAACAGTCCCAACCTTTTTTTCCCCGTCCCCTCCCTCGAAGGCGTCGAAAATAATGGAAAAAAAACTTCCTGGTTGTGGCCATCGAGGCCGGCCCCCATTGGAGGCATGACAAATAACGAATAGTTCTGCTCCGCTCGATTTCGAAACTAGGAAGTCATCAACGCTGTTATTATGTATTTGCTTGCACACGATAGCCTCCGGGTCGGTTTCTGATCAGTATAAAAAAGAAGGTTGGGGCAAGAGAAGAAAGAGTGATTAAGGGGTGACGTAAACATTCTGATTACTATTCAAGGGAGACGTACATTTTCGTTAAAAAAAAATACTTCCGTTTAGATGGTATTCGAGATGTTTCAGGGAATACACATACATCACAAACTCTGTCCCAATATGCGGTATTTAATTACTTCCGGTAATCATGATTTTGCTGAAACAATTACAATCTTTCCAGTCTCGTATTTAGAGCGCTTGAAGGCTGGCGCAGTTTCAGTCTGCTTATCAAATTTGGCACAAACTCCTCCGAAGGAAGCGAAAACCTGTATCACAGAGGACTTTCGGTATAACAGGGAACGGGAACCGTAACGACAGTAACAGACAAAGAACGGGACCGTGAGTTAAGCGACGCCTTTGTTCTTGGAAGAGACCCACAAAAATGGAAAGCCGAAAGAGCCAGGGGGGTTTTGAGGTCACAGACTTGTCCGAATGACCTGTTCAACGTCATGTGATCTACCGAGACGGAGACAATCCTTACGGAACCGTAACATCATGTCGCAGTGGTGCGACAATAGGATCATAAATATCGAGGCAAGATTTTACAAGTAGGAGCAGCATGAGAGACGAAAGATGTGAACAGATAGGTTTGACGATTCGTCATTTTTTTACGACAACTGGGAGCAGTGCAGTCGAGCAAGGGCCACTGACATGTTTATGAATGGAAAAAGAAACGGCTAGAAAAAAAACAGTAGGGAGGTTGAACACGGCTGTATCTTGTAGTGGCCCCTCGGGCCATGTACTTTAGTACTTTATCAGTGCCTCCATGCAGCATGTACTTGTACATTCCCACTGAAAGTGGGGACAATGCCAGGGACACGTGCACCCTAGCCACCCGTTTCTCGACCTCACACGGTCGATGGTCGATTGCATCTCGACGGTCGACTGTGAGAACCTCGAAGTCTAGTTCCATCTCGGTGCGGTCGCAGTCGAGGGGCGGGATTCCGGGTTTCCTTCAATTTTTGTCTGGACTATCAGACTTTCAGATTCAGGAGAGTTTCGGGGTCAAATGCTTACACGAGAGGAGGATAGTTTATTTGTTTTCGAGTCGGCTAATGGGCAATGCCCGTCACGATCTTCATTCCATAAATTATGGCGCCGATAACAGTGATCTTTCCTTGCTAGAATCTCAACTAGTCGCTAACACTGGTCTGTTTCCTGCTTTAGCAGGAAATCAGCCGCGAGTACAGAGTGGCCACAAATGAAAAAAAGGGGGGAAAGGAGGAGAAAAAAAAAAAGATGTACCTCTATTCGAAAAGCTTCATTCTCTGCACAAAGCTGGATTCGTGCCCAATTCTTCTTGACATATTCTACAGAGTGGAAGGCTGCATACTGTAAAAGCAATTCCGGACAGCTGTTTTGAGTTCTTCAATATTTGTCAGTCTTAAGAGTCCCATGCCCGGAATATTTCGCGTAAAGGAGCAGTTTTATTGAACCTCTGCGAAAATCTGGTTCTTATTTCCTTGTCTGGTCTCTTTTACGAATATGGACCAACACACTCATTACTAGTCCATCCTCCATCGTGAACTCATTAATGTCTGCCATGGTGAAATTCAACCTGGGAATACAGTATAAAAAAGAGAACAATTAATATTACTAATACATGCAAAGGGACTTTGTGGCCACCCTGTAGATTCAATCGATGGAGGAGTCACTTGCTGCATATTTATTTACCTGACTATTCCCCACAGCATTCCGCGAGATAAAGTAAATGTCTGCAGTTTAAAGGGAGGCTGGCTGGAAATTTTGACAGTAAATGGACCCTAGGCAACAAATAACTTGATATACTTTCGGGGAAACGGAGTACACGAGAACCATTATTGCCAAGAAGGCAATATAAAATTTGTAAATGTAAGCAAGAAGAAATCCTAAATAACAGAACATGAAAACATAAGGGGATTGATATTTTCGGAAACCACAGATAAGAAGCTGGTGCTCCGCCCTGAAAACTCAATAGAAAAATGCTCGAAAAATTAACTTACAAAGAAATCCTCTCGCAACCGTGAACAGAAATGCTCACCTCATTAAACTATCAAAATCTTCGACTAGGTGGAGCGATAGACTTGTCATATGCTTCGCCATGGCATAACGGAGAATTTGTGTCTTTGAATTATGAGGGCTTCAGGAAGTAAAAAAAAAAATCTGATAAGGATGCCGGAGAGTATTGTGCTGTCTTTTTCCCCCCGCAGGCACGAACTGAAGAAACGATGTTTCCGTCGACGCAACAAGACTGCAGCCGCAGGAAAAACAATGGTCTACACCAGGCCGATAGACAGGCGCACGACGAGATGCACCTCCATCACATCTTGCCTCCAACCATAACTGTGTGGAGTTATGGTTGGAGGCAAGATGTGATGGACTGACCTATCGCGAGTCGCGAGGGAAGCATCCGCTGAGGATCGCGAGTCGCGAGGGAAGCATCCGCTGAGGTCTCCCCGACGGCTCTCGTTCGACGGGGACCACGATAATGGTGGCCCCTGTCGAACACCTCGTCATCGGGATATGTTCTCTATTTATAGATCCCACTGTGTAAAATTTTGACCGAAGTACAGTTACGAGTTGAATCCACTCGAGGACCCTATTAAGAGTCTCGTTACAACCTCATAAAATGTGACATTCAATCATGTTCCCATGACTCGGCGGCGGCAATGCAGCCATTGCAAGATGCTGTACGTTCAAATTAAGCCGAACGCACTCTTAGCAGATCTATAATTACCTCAATTGCTTACCAGCCAGAACATAGGTGTTTTTGACTATAGAGTTCTCGAAATGAAGCGTCTATCGCTTCATATTCAGTCATCAACTTCCCTGCTATGGTCATACACATCGTCATACGAAACTTAGATTTAGAGAAAATCCGTGCTTGCAAACTGTGCTGCAAGTCCGGGAATTTGATGGACATGCACCTTCATGGATGAAAATATTAAATGCTGACAACATTTTTTTAAAGGACCACAAGTATCGCTTCACAAGGGTTTTACTTCCTATTCCATGGAGCAAAAAGATCTTTGCATTACTGCTCTGGAATGAGAAATAAAAGCTCTACGTCCTAAAGTGCATTCCACACCCTGACATAAAGACCGTTCGTGCCAAAAAATTCCAGTTCCAAGAGTTCACTCTTTCATCCGTGTTGGCTCTCTTAAATTTCCTCAGCGAGAGAACCAGCTCCTTGCCGTTGGCCTACTCACTCGCGGTATCGTTTCACTTAACTTTTTATTGCGCTTCGCTTATTTATTCCTTTCGATCGAATTTCCATACGAGGACAATCGAGTCGTCGCTGCATCGATTTCGATACCGATTCGACGATTCCCTTAATTTTTTATATTTCAGGATCTCCGCGTCTGACCCGGGAAAGGATGGCCGGAAACGAGACGACGCCAGCCGGGACCCTCAGAGAGTACTACGACCAGTTTTCCTGGGCCCTGGAATACGGCTCGGGTGACTCCCACGCGTCCTGCCTCCACGCGCACGCGAGGCCGAAGGGGGACCTACAACGCCTCTCTCTCTCTTTCCGCAGACAAGCGGGTGAAGGGATGGTTCCTGATGAGCAGCCCGGTCCCGACCACGGTCGCGTGTATCGCCTACGTCCTCTTCATGAAGTGGATCGGGCCGCGGCTCATGAGGGACAGGGAACCCCTCCAGCTCAAGAACCTCATGGTTGCCTACAACATCTTCCAGATCCTCTTCAACGTCTTCATTCTCAGTCTGGTACGGTCCATCTTCCGCTCGGAGGAAAACACGCTTCGTCGCTGTCGAAGGATCGTTCCGTTCCGTTCCGCGTGCGACCGAATTCAGCCGTTTAGTCGCAAATGGAACTACGGAACTAGGAAGAGCCACGCGCGGACCGATCATCGGGTTTACCATTATGCAACAGGAAAACTACGCTTTCTCCTTCATTGGTTGCGGGGGGTTTCCAAGGGGGAAAAAGTGGTTAGCCGCAAGTACTCAATGCGAAGTTTTATTCTTTCTTCGTTGTCGAGGGACGGATAACGTCCTTCAGAGGCCTCTCAATCAATGGTAAATGGGACAAGTTTCACATCTCCACGATCCATATCCGTAGAAAACACGGTGAAATAAGTGCGAAAAAAATATTGTTAATTTAAATATCGAGAGCCTTAACCGACAAAAGATACATCACGCATTGGATTCTATTCCCAAGAGTGAATTCCCTCTGGGGCAAACCCGAATCGAAATCGACCGACGCGGCGAGCTCACTCGGAACGGCCGATCATTTTCCAACAGATGACGTCGATGATGAGGTTTCCCTTCCTCGACCTAGGCCTACTTTAGATTCGACGCAGTTTCCACGAATACGATGCGGTTTTTTCGACGAGGTTGCATCACCCGCGCCAGTAATTAGGCAGGAGAGGGGATCTACCGCAATTGGGAAAGAAGACGGAGAGATAGACAAGAAACGCGAAGGCTTTTTAGAGGGCCGCACGAGTGAGTGAATTTGCGAGCGAACGAGTGAGAGTGTCCGTGCCGACGAAACGTACGGTTCTCTTTCGTAATCGAACGGGTGATGAAAAATGACGCGGCTTGGGAGAAATGAGCTCTCCCCCCTACTCTTTGTTACGGCAGTCCTTCATCGGAGGACGGTACTTTCATGCGGTCTCACGGCCCCCCTCCCCCCCTTCTCTGTTGCAGGGCATCGACAGCTGGCTCTTTGAATATTCGCTCACATGCCAACCCGTGGATTACAGCCTCAGGCCTCGCGCCGTTCGGGTGAGTTTTCCGGATTTCGAAGAGGGGGATCGGGCGAGGAGGAACGAAATAAATAAAAATAAAATAAAATATTGTCGTTTTCTTCGTGGTACCAGATGGTTCACGCGGCTTGGTGGTTTTATTTCTCCAAGTTCGTCGATTGGTTCGACACGGTGGGTTCCCAAGATATTTCCTCGCCGACGTGCACTTTCGAAACAAAAGTGAAATATCTTCTTTTTGTGTGTATTTCGCAACAGTTATTCTTCATCTTGCGGAAGAAGTTCGACCAAGTCAGTCTTCTGCACATCGTGCACCATGGAATCATGCCCTTCAGCTGTTGGTTTGGGGTCAAATTCACGCCAGGTAAGCCGGGTTCACGAGAATGACAAGAAAAACATGCCTGAATATAAACTATAAACTTTAAATTAATTTAATTTAAATAAAATATAAACTCAAGCAAAGAACCTGCAATTTAGAATCCCAACATTTTTGTGTCTTCCGAGCTATCGGTAACAACAATATCGCCCCCTAAAAAGCTCAAAGGTCGGAAGTGCTCTCTCAACTTGTTGGGATATTAAAATTCTAAACTTTCAGATTTAATATTTAATTTTTTATTTATGTAACATAATATAATTTTACGTGTTTCTTGTTGAACGACTTGTCAACACCCAATTTGGTGTTACTTCAAGTAGGATTAAATGCTCGGCGTCAAGCAGAAGCCAACCGCAACCGCAATTTAAAAAGCGGCAAAAAAAGGTTAAGTTGGAAAATCACGGTAATTCATCACTCCGGTTGTCCAGTTGTGGTGATATTTTGAGACCTGTTGAGACGAGGTGATTATCTCCAGTATTTGGTCATTGCTACAGTTAGCCTCTGGCGTGTCAGCCAAGAAATTCCCATAGGAAAATAAATTAATTTTTAAATGAAAAAAATGTTCCCTCCCATTGGGACTGCTAATTACGGATACTGATACTGCTGGTACTGATCAACGTCTGCAAATATATACACTTTTCTTATGATGTGGGATGACAATGGACATCATCAGTTTTCTGTGCTACTGATCATTCGATCACAATCACCATTTTACTTTGGGCTATGTGCTCTCTAAGGGGCGATGTGCGTCTGGTATTATCGTGGTAACAATTTGTTAATCCTCTCCCTGAAATATAAATTCTAAAAAATTTAAAAGTTTAGGTTTGGAATTAAAACTTGAAATATGAAACCACACCATATGATACAGGTCTCATGCCATAATTTTTCATCGTGCCATCACTGTCTCACAGGTGGTCACAGCACCTTCTTTGGCTTACTCAATACCCAAGTGCACATCATCATGTACCTATACTACACATTGGCTGCATTGGGACCCAAGTACAGGAAGTACCTTTGGTGGAAGCAGCACCTCACTACCATTCAGATGGCAAGTCAACATTTCCTTCTTCAATAAATTTTTGAGCCTAATGGCTCGACTGCGTTTGAATAACGCGAGCGAAAATTCAGAAGTATGTATGGAACAATGACTTCTACATCAACTTTTTAAGAGTCAGAAGGCAGAAACAACTAGGCAGGTATGTAAACATTTATAGAATTGGATACACCTGAGGTTAATAACTTACCCACAGGGTAAGAGATGGGCCATTACTTATGCGAATAGTGGTTTTTCTGAAATTCTCGAGACTTCTTAAATGGAATGAGAGTCTTTTTAATTTTTAACCTAAAGGCCGTCACCCTCGTCAAGTCGACAGGTCTGATCATTCACTCATGCAGTATGCCAATGCTATTGCTATTGATAATGTAAGAAGAAGCACCAAGGAGAAAAATTGAATGTCTGTATCATTCTCATTTTTTGCCTTCAAAGATCTCATCTAGTTTTCTGGTTCCGTGTCATCATTCAAGTGCAGAAGAATTTTGATATGGTACTTTTCTTCTAAATCATTCACGCCACCGACTATCGATGCAATAATCGAAGGATCGCGACGGCCCTAGTCCTAATGGGTTTTACTGTACTAGGAAACACCGAAGATGATGTAGTGAGAAGGAATTTTATTTCGCCTTCCGTGCCCCCCTACCCTTCTCGTCGATTATATCGAGGATCAGCGATGTTCCCGACTCAGCATCGTGACCCTGTTTCTATCCAATATCGCACAGTCCTACTGACCACCACTGGCATGAACAACGCGTGGGTCCTGCGCGAGAAACGATTGCAAGCCAAGTCATGAACGACTTGATCTTTTCTTTGGAACGTGGTCTTTCACTCTCTTTCTGAGCACGATTTTAGTCTCATTAATTTTTTTACTACATATAAATGTAGAGTTCACGCATTTAATGGTCTGAGAGCTCTCAAATAAATTTATTTGCTCCGTAGCCATTTTCTGACGAGACTTTGATTATCACTTCATCTATATCGACAATGACGATCGCGGTGACCATTTTGAAAAGCACCTCAAATCAAATTTTTTCCTAACAGTCTGCGACTAGCTAGACAGAGCGCACGCGTTGCCAAGTGGAGACATACCTTTAGTGACGTTCAAGAAAACGAAAATTTCGCATCATTCTTATAGTAAAAAAAGCTACTGCTTCCTGATCTGAGAAAGATTTTTGATTGAATAATTTTTCAATGGAACAGGATATAGTTGTATAACATCTGATCAATCTACAATTTACTTTGAAATGAAAAGCTGTTGAAAAACGTAACTTTCTGCGACCACCCTGTAAAACGCCGAAATCATCCCTATCTACCCCAAGATGCATTTTCATGGAGCGGGGGGGTGGGGGTGGACGGGGGTGGACGGGTGGACGGGGGGGGGGGGTGGACATAAGAGCCAGATTCCTCTCTGTTAGGACCACAAATGAAAATATTATTATTATCAAGTCTCTCCCCTGATTGTCACCCCTTTCAATTCTCGCTCAAGATGATGCTGGGGTTCATCACTCTGATATGCATTTCCATCTCTCCTTCCAGGTTCAGTTTGCAGCTGTCTTTGTGCATGCAGTACAGCTCCTGTTTGTGGAATGTGACTACCCAAAAGTCTTCGTATATGTGCTCATGAGTCATGCTATCATGTTCACCTTCCTCTTCTTGGATTTCTACAAGAAGAGCTACATGCACCAAGACAAAAGAAAGGCACAGAGGGTAAGAATGAACTGCAAACGATTTTGGAAAGTTGGCCAAGATCATATATTCCATTCTTCTCCACCAGTCTATCTACTCAAGAATTTCTTGCCTGATTTTTACCTTTGTCACAGGACAAAAGAAATAAACTTCCAAGTTGGCCGACCAAAACAAATCATGAAGCTGAGGAAATCTATTTGAAATTGAGCAGAACAACACCCAGAATGCCTGACAGTGGTTTACATTTTCTTCACATAAGAATCAGTGGCCTAATTTTCTTATTTTTTAATATCTATTTATAAACCCCTGCATTTTCACACCATTTAAAGATGAGAAATACTTTAAGAGTCCTCATCAGATTATGGAGAGTTATTAGTGTATTACAGCTCACAAAAGTTACAAGTAAAGGCTATTCCAGGGATTTAGAAAATTAATATTTTGAAATTTCCAAAAAAAAAAGTATTGTTTTCAAATCACATTCTTGCATTCCATGTGAGGAAGTGACACTTATCTCACATCACAAAATGAGCTGCTCACTCAGCTCAGTACCATTTTTCTGGCTTGGTGAAAAATGGCATGAGATGCAATCTCATATGAATAAGAAAACCTAAGAAACACAAGTCTAGGCCTGTATGTCAACAGATTGTCACCAAGCTTCAGAATTTACTATTGCATATATGGCATGGATGTCAAACTAGAGACTCAAAAGTCCAATTTGTCTGGTCTACAAAACCTTCATCGGCAGTTGGTCTCAGGAAATCACAGCCAAGTCTCAACTTCTTTGTATTAGAATGTTAGGTAAAATAAATTAGAATTTGTTAGTGCAGCCCTCAATCACCCCTGAAGGGTTCCTTCCAGCCTGAACAAGCGGGGCATTACTGATCTACAGCAACAGACAAGACAAACAGAATAAAACTACCATCTTGAGCACACTTTTTGTGGGAGTCAGGAGGAAAAGGGAATAGACATGATAAAGTGAGGCAACAAGAGACACTTTTGATTGTTGGGCAGAGTTCCTAACCTGGTTAACCAGGATAAGTATTCCAATCAAACAAATGGAAGTTTGTGTTCATTAGAATTCTGCAAGGGCTGGTTTTGATTTTTGAATTGCCTTCCCACCCCTCAAGAAGAGGGCAGTACTTCTTCCAAACACCAGAATAAGAGTTGCAATGTCATTCATATCGTTAGGTGAGAATTATTTTGTTCTATGTCCAAACTGAAAATTTGGGAAACATAAACTTCATTAAAGTTTGCTGCAGTAAGACAAAAGATATAATACATTTGTAGAGATGCAAATTATATCCACAGATTCCTAAATAAAAGTACAACCTGATATGTCAAGAAAATAATTTTACTGATGATGTCAGAGGGAGACACTATGATACTGAAACCACTTTTAGAGCAGTTTCAAAGGTTTCTGAACCCAGGTCGACCCAGGTTGCAAATCCAGTCCCAATTGAAAGTGCCTTAGGGATCCAAAATCCTTCCTCACTAAGTCAGCCAGATCACTTCCTCACCCTAACTGGGAGAAATCTAACTTATTGAGAAATTGATATGCTTCCTTTCCTGCCCTAAATGGAACAAATATAAAATCTATTGATGTGCTGATTGCATTCCTGGGACTGAACCACTAAGCTCATAGAGACTCTTTTATGGTCACTTCAGCTATCTGTTATACTGTTCATTTATGTTTAGGTGTCCAATGGTGTGCCTGTACCAATCAAGTCTTCTTCTGAAGAAAATTCAAGGGGTAAGAAAGATGGCAAGAATGAAAAGGGTGCCAATGGGATCACAAATGGAATTCACCACAATGATGAAGGACTGCGAAAGAGGGCCACAGTCAAGACAGTCAGCCAGGATATCTCCCAAGTTGTTAATACAGAGTCTGGCAAAGAAGAATCAGAGGCAACAAGTCTCAGGGCAAAGGTCCCTTCTCTGGCCAAACAGATCCTATCTTTCAACCCAGGGATCTGCTTCCCAGTTATACATGATGCTTCTGACCACTGACCCGCAAGGCTAAATTGAATCATGAAAGAAGACTTGATGTTATAGTCCTTCATCAATGATGGAGGGTAGGGTTCGCCCTGAGGAAATTATGGCTCCAGCTCTTGGAGCCATAGTTGTTGACTCATGCAATGCTTTTTTGGTACACTGCCTTTCAATTATGAGTGCTTGATTGACAGCGATCCTATACATTGTATTTTGCCAATTTTATCTGGCTAGGAGACTGAGTATTTCTGATGGTAGTTATATATTGCCATTTGCAATCATCAGGAAGTTCAAAGAAGCACAGCTCTGCTATGAGTACCAATCTATGTATCCATCTATTCTCAGGTTATTTTTCCTTCTCTCCATCTCACTTTGTATATCCTCTTGTGACCGAAATCCCGGTGCTTCTTGTTATCTTCATTTGTTTTCTGAGATTAGTGTTTCATGAATGAACAACAGACCCTATTGAGAACAGTCTATTATTTCACACTTGAGAACTGAAGCAACAAATACTTCCGTACAGGATTCTATCTTGTATGGGGAAAATAAGGGGACAATATGGGACAAGAAACGATCTAGACTCACGATGACCTTGCTACTAAGCAGCCATTGCCTCTTTGGCTGCTCGGGCTTCTTTTCGTTTCATTCGTTGAAGCAGCCTCCTCTCCCTTTCAAACTCCTTCATACGTAAGACCCAACTGTAAAGATGCAAGCAATGTAGTTTCAAGAAAGAGTTCCAACTTTTACCAGTCTTAACACTTTGCAAAAAAAATTTGAACTTAGTACAGGCCCCTTATGACTACATGTTTCTACAGGATAACATGTTCATGTAGACTGACCACAACAACCTAGATGCATTTGCATTGATGGTAACATTTCTTAAACTGTGGGTCATGACTGCCCTGGGGATCACAAAGGAGATTATTGAGGATCTAGAAATAACAAAAAATCTCTTTTATTTCATTGCCCTCACAAAACCAGCTGAAGCATTTTGGCCAATAAATAAATTTCCATAATACATTTTTTTACCATTGCAGCCAGAAGAAAATCCATGGGGGAATAGCCTGGTAAGCAGGGTCATTAAAGGCTTACTTATTTGAAGCTCAGGTGAAAGAGCTACTAATGCTTTGGAACCATGTGATATTACACCTTCCACATGGGGTACTCAATAAATTTTTGCATGTCTTGGAAGTCGATGCTAAAGGCCAATGAATGAGCCTTTTTCTATGATTTCCAGCAAATCCTTTGGGTACACCATAATGTCTTGAAAAATCATGAAAATATACTAACAACCAAAAACAGCATTCAAACAAACCATTTCCTGGAAAAAACTGGAAAAGGCTCTTGGTGAACAACCATCACACTCACATAAGTTGTACTGTAGCACAACTGCTTTTTCACATTGTTCCAGGTGAAAAATTAAATTAAATTTAAACTAAATTAAATTTAGACAAGAGCTAATTGCATTTAATTATTTTTGCATGCAAAAAACCAAATTCTAGCCTATCAAAGTTTTATATATCATGAACTCATTTCTTTAAATTTTCAACAACATTAAAGTCAGGAGTAACAAGTATATGGGTTCAATGAAATATGGTCATGTTTCCAAAAAGTTCAAAAACACCTCTCTTATTTAATGAGTCTCTTATTGTGACTGAAGACTAAGAAAAACTTTATATTTTGCAAACTGTCAAATTTCTCATTTTGTAAAAATGTATATATAATAACTAGGGCTGTCACAATAGCAGTTTACAAAACATCAATGCATTGACCCGAACTATTGATAGTGTATCAATGCATCAGGATGGGGGGGTGTTGGAGGATTCAATTTTTTCTAATCACAATTGGGTGGACTTCCAACGTGTCTTGCCTTGATTGAGGTGCAGACCTCTATCTGTCTTCTATAATCTCACACTTATGGTCAGGGTGCATGGGGAAGGTAACAAGTAATGAAACCTACCATGCCTCTATCGAAAATGACATCCACTCATCGATGGATGCATCAGGACAGCCCTATTATTTGCTTCTGGCTGTTGAGAATCAGTTGCCAAGCCCATTCATGTAATTTTTTATTTCTCTTCATTCTACATGGATGTCTTTGGACATTGGCACTGGCAGACAGTAAACTTGCTGATGGTGCCATATTAGCAGTTGCCAAAACATTGGTACAGCCCTAGAAGCAATGTCAATGTAAAAAATTCACCTTAAGTAAAGAGGCAAAATACCACAGGAGAGTTAAAATACAAAAAAAGCTTGAGTCTGCAAACTACAGAAAAATACAGGAATATAGAGAGGGGGGTTAACCAATGTATGTTTCAAAATTGGGGGAGTATAATAGCAATCCACTTTTGCAGCAAGCACCTGATGAGATCAAGTCAAAAACTGAAACAGATTAAAAAAATTATTGATCTTCATTTCATCTCCCTTCCCACATCCTGTCTCCAGTCCAACATGTTTTTTTTTCCCTTCCCATCTTTCATATAGTCAGTCCCAGCATTTCCAGAATTTTGTTCGTGATAAGAAATTGAAATTGCAAGACCATGCACCTGGGTCACGCTGCCTCTTCCTTTCCCCACCCGGACAGACTGTATTGTATTGTACTGTATTCACCTCAATCTATTTTCCCTTTTAAATATTTCACCAATACATCACAATGGTTGAAAAAAAATATCAATACCTCCAACCATAGATAGTGGTATCAATGCATCACTCTATCATGATAGCCCTAATAACAACAAGGGCTGTCAATCAATGAAATAATGTGAGCCATTTAATTGATTAATAGAATGTTAATCTATCCCCTCGATCTTTGTTGAATCATGTCCTAGGTGAGCCTCAAGATATGACTCAAGGTGATGAAGTCGCTAACATAGTAATAACATAGCAGTTACTATCTATGCATACACTAGTTCAATGTGACTCATTCCAAATAGAGAGGGAATAATTACAACTTAGTCAGATAAAGAATGAAACAAGCAAAGAAGTGCATTATGGCTCTTTGCATTAAGCCAACCCATACAAGAATGATGCAACAATGCAACCTATATGATTGGAGGTACAGAGTGACACTTCATTACATGGAGATTTGAAGATTCATTATCAATTCATGGGGAACACAGTATAGAAGAGCAAAAAAAGCAGGGAGAGGGAGAGTTCAGTGAAAACTCGTTAACTCGAATCCTGATAAGTCTAAATTCCGCTTATCTCAAAGTTCGATGCTTGGTCCCGGCAGAACCCTGTAGGACACCATGTTAAAAGCTTTGTTTAACTCGAATTCACTTATCTCAAATTTCCAGATATCTCAAATGAAATTTTCACTCCCTATAGTGATTTTCTCACAGTTAACTTGAATTCCAGGTGGGAAAAATTCTTCTTGTGGGACTTTCGATTTTTGAATAGAATGAATGACAAGAAACCCATTCGGGAGGATGCTCTTTTGTTTTTTTTTTCTGCTTCTCCCTCCTCCCACACAGACACCTGTGGAGAGGATTAAACCTGAAAA